GGATGTTGTACTAGAGACTAGAACCTACACAGTAACTGAGTACAGGACGTTAACACTCACCCTTGAGGATGTTGTACTAGAGACTAGAACCTACACAGTTACTGAGTACAGGACATTAGCACTCACCCCTGAGGATGTTGTACTAGAGACTAGAACCTACANCGATCATCATTAATCCCACTGTCAAAATATCATTGATTCATCATTAATCCAACTGTCAAAATATCATTGTTTCATCAATAATCCCACTGTCAAAATAGCATTGGTTCATCATTAATCCCACTGTCAAAATATCATTGGTTCATCTTTAATACCACTGACAAAATAACATTAGTTCATCATTAATCCCACTGTCAAAATATCATTGGTTCATCATTAATCCCACTGTCAAAATATCATTGGTTCATCTTTAATACCACTGACAAAATAACATTAGTTCATCATTAATCCCACTGACAAAATATCATTGAATGATCATTAATCCCACTGACAAAATATCATTGGTTGATCATTCATCTAAATGTCAAAATATCATTAGTTCATCATTAATCCCACTGTCAAAATATCATTGGTTGAGCATTAACACAACATTTTGACAGTCCAGTACAAATGATCATCAGATATATATTTACTACAGTGATCCTGTCTCAACTGATCCCTGAACAATGGAGAAACCTGTATAAACAAACCTGTATAAGCTGGACACCTATATAATACAGATATCCAGCAACTTTAATTTGTATGTGCCAATGTAAAACCTGTCCATTCTAGACTAAACTTGATGTCCTGACGGTGTAAGTATAGACTGGTATAACAGTACCATTATTTCTATCAATAACTTGAGAGACAACCAGGAAACTAACTAGTGTTTAGATTGAACTGTCGTTCAGGAAGTAATCAAGTTTATTCAAAAGATTAATAAAATCAACAGAATATAACCCACATGAAAAAAATAGATAGAATTCTCCTTAGTTTTATTTTAAAAATTTATTATAATTAACTGTTTATATCTCACATGAAAGTGGGGAAAATACTGTTTTTGTATTGTTGATCCTCGCGAAAATTACAATCACTAGATGCCATACTAGAGACTAGAACTTACACAGTAACTGAGTACAGGACGTTAGCACTCACCCCTGAGGATGTTGTACTAGAGACTAGAACCTANGTATTGGTTCATCATTAATCCAACTGTCAAAAAAATAATTGGTTCATCATTAGTCCCACTGTCGAAATATCATTAGTTCATCATTTATCCCATTGTCAAAATATCATTGGATAATCATTAATCCCACTGTCAAAATATCATTGGTTCATAATTAATCCAACTGTCAAAATATCATTAGGTCATCATTAATCCCACTGTCAAAATATCATTGGTTCATCATTAATCCAACTGACCAAATATCATTGGTTCATCATAAATCCCACTGTCAAAATATCATTGGATCATCATTAATCCCACTGTCAAAATATCAATGGTTCATAATTAATCCAACTGTCAAAATATCATTGATTCATCATTAATCCCACTGGCCAAATATCATTGGTTCATCATTAATCCCACTGACAAAATATCATTGGTTCATCATTAATCCCACTGTCAAAATATCATTGAATGATCATTAATCCCACTGTCAAAATATCATTAGTTCATCATTAATCCCACTGTCAAAATATCATTGTTTGATAATTAATCCCACTGTCAAAATTTCATTGAATGATCATTAATCCCACTGTCAAAATATCATTGATTCATCATTAATCCCAGTCAAAATATCATTGGTTCGTCATTAATCCCACTGTCAAAATATCATTGGTTCGTCATTAATCCCACAGTCAAAATATCATTGGTTCATCATTAATCCCAGTCAAAATATCATTAGTTCATCATTAATCCCACTGTCAAAATATATCCTTGTTCGATCATTAATCCCACTGTCAAAATTTCATTGAATGATCATTAATCCCACTGTCAAAATATCATTAGTTCATCATTAATCTTAATGTCAAAATATCATTGGTTGATCATTTATCCCACTGTCAAAATAACAATGGTTCATCATTAATCCCACTGTCNAATTAGAACCTACACAGTTACTGAGTACAGGACGTTAGCACTCACCCCTGAGGATGTTGTACTAGAGACTAGAACCTACACAGTAACTGAGTACAGGGCCTTAGCACTCACCCCTGAGGATGTTGTACTAGAGACTAGAACCTACATAGTAACTGAGTACAGGACGTTAACACTCACCCCTGAGGATGGTTTTCTAGAGACTAGAAACTACACAGTAACTGAGTACAGGACGTTAGCACTCGCCCTTGAGGATGTTTTACTAGAGACTAGAACCTACACAGTTACTGAGTACAGAACGTTAGCACTCACCCCTGAGGATGTTGTACTAGAGACTAGAACCTACACTGTAACTGAGTACAGGACGTAAGCACTCACCCCAGGGGATGTTGTACTAGAGACTAGAACCTACACAGTAACTGAGTACAGGACGTTAGCACTCACCCTTGAGGATGTTTTACTAGAGACTAGAACCTACACAGTTACTGAGTACAGAACGTTAGCACTCACCCCTGAGGATGTTGTACTAGAGACTAGAACCTACATAGTAACTGAGTACAGGACGTTAACACTCACCCCAGGGGATGCTGTACTAGAGACTAGAACCTACACAGTAACTGAGTACAAGACGTTAACACTCACCCCTGAGGATGTTGTACTAGAGACTAGAACCTACAAAGTAACTGAGTACAGGACGTTAACACTCACCCCTGAGGATGTTGTACTAGAGACTAGAACCTACAAAGTAACTGAGTACAGGACGTTAACACTCACCCCTAAGGATGTTGTTCTAGAGACTAGAACCTACACAGTAACTGAGTACAGGACGTTAACACTAACCCCAGGGGATGCTGTACTAGTGAGACAAGCAGCTCCACAGCCAATGCACTGGCTAAGTAACTCATCCCTGGACGAGACACAGTACACTGCTGATCCAGAGTTCGGTCCCTTGTTGACTGTAAATATACAAATTAAAGGATGAATACCAGGTTTTAGGTTTTAGAATATACACATATGCTTCAGATCATCAGAATTTAACTATATACCACTAAAGATGAATACCAATAAACTGATATGGGGTGGATTTTAAATGATTTCCTTAATTTTCCCCTCCCTCTTCCTGCCCTTAAAAGCAACCTTCCATCGAAAAAATTGAGGCCCCTTTACCCAAAGGTGCTCCACGCAGAATTTGGTTAAAATCCCTCCCATCAAACTAAAGGAAAAGGGTTTTAAAGATTTACTTTAAGTTCCCCTATTGGGCCCACCCCTTTGCCCCCACGGAGGCCATACCCTCTGTTTATTCAAAATTGAGTCCCCTTTGTCCAAGGATGCTCAAGGCCAAATTTAGTCAAAATCCACTGAGACGTTCAGGTCTATTAGCGTTTTAAAGGATAAGTTGACCGACGGACCTCACTGGCCCTGTGGCAGGTGAGTTAAAAACTTCAACAAAAACAGACTATTTAAGATATCTGAGTTCATAATGATGAACTATACTTACATTTCCTGGAGCGACAACATCATTACAGAAGTAGCATCCAAGTTTGTCTCCGGGAATGATCATGTAACTAGAGAGTGGCTCTACCTCAGAGGGAGTGTTGCCCTCCGTGTCAGATTTCAGGCCGTGTCTCATTACCAGGAATGTGTCAAAACCCAGAGCCGCACAAATCACTATCTGGAATGCGAGATAACATTGGTAATTAACCTATTAAAAAAAATCAGAAACATGGATCTATATTTAGCTTCATTTTTCCTTATAAGCTCTTTTACTCTTCGTTGTTTCTTCATTACTCTGTAAAACTTTTTTTGAAATGAATAACTTAATTTTCATATTCACAATGACAATTAACAATTTCTGTAACCTTCTTATGAGCAGCAGCCATGACAGTTGGTAACCAACGACTCTCTCTGGTATCCAGGAGGAGGAACACTGCATCATGAGATTTTATTAGATCTTCCAGTTGTTGGACATCCTTCTTAGTGCCTTCTAAGGCCCCTCCTGTTTGAGGAATGTAAATCATGACCATTACATGAGTATTATTACCGACAGAATTGTTTTAAAGAAAAGTCAATAATGTATGCCCAAAGCAAGCTTTCAAACTTCTATTTCTTTTCTTATAAACAATGATTTCACAAAGGTCTCCCTTAGCAAAATAAATCATTACAATATAGCTATTTTGAGAGTGTTTTTACAGGCTCATCTCAAGCTCCCTCTATGGTAGGGAGTAAGACACATATGTCTATCCCTCATATTTGCCTGTTTAGTGTTTCCCAGATAAATACAGTAGATCTTGTATAAATATCTTGTATAGTACCTGAAACAGGATGGCCTGGCATCGGAATCGACATAGAAATTCCCTGAGCATCCTGTTAAAATAATTAAAATATATTATTAGTGCAAACCTTACTTTTTTTATTTAATTTTCAATCTAGACTAGTGTGAAAATTGAATTTGCAAACATCAAATTTTATTTTCAATACTCAGATAAATTTTCCTGTGTCCAACAACAAGGTCAACGTATAATTTAAAATAGATTTAAAGGGAAATAACTACAATCGTCATAGACTATGCTGCAATTGTACAGATATAAAAAATACAGTAACAGTCTAGTGCTACCTGATTAGTAGTCTGTATTGATTGTAATTCAATGGATATAAATAATTTTTGACAAACCAAATGCCCTGGACAAAATTGATAGTAAAATTTCTATCAGAATTCCAGCTACTTACAACTCCTGGGAATATTTTCTGTAAAGACAGAGCTGCTGCCTCAGCCTTCGGCCTGCCCCCCTGCATACAGTCTTCAAACACAAACAGGCTCTGTCTCACAGGATTGGAGTAGGACACCGTACCATTGTCGACCAGAGTTATCTTCCTTACTCCCCATCCCTGGTGACAGAATATTTTAAATGAGATGTAAATATTGCTATAATTTTTTGTGCAATTTTTGATAAAATAGTATTAACTGTGTAAAGCAAGAAATATTGCGATTTTCTTTCATTTACTGATAATATGTTTTTTACAAAGGCAATGTACTGAGCTAACAACAGCTTCAACACTGGTTTCTGACTCTAGCAATCGCAGTATCATTTACTTTCTTCTCATGTTTACCAAAATAATCCTAATTACTAAAAACACAAAATTATTTTTTATATAGAATTCTTACCAACAGACATCTTGCAACATTGCACCCCAGAGTTCCAGCCCCAAGTAGTAGACATTTTGTCTTTGAGATTTGGTCAAGGTCAAGTTCTGGCAGGAGTCTCCACCTCATCAACTTCAGATTGAGGTCTACTGCTGATGCTGCAAGCCTTTTAATATGGAATTAGATTTATGGCTGTGTAAAAAGTCTATTTCAGAAGAAATTTGAATTTTTTAACAGTGAAATTGTTTTTTTCTATGTTTATCTTTAAATGTTCATATCTAGTTCTAAGTAGCATAGTTAAGTTCAAACTTAACCTATGTCCTACTGTATGCAATTATTCTTATCACACACCTACTTAACTCATTCACCCCTGAAATTTCCTAATGAACTATTCCAACCTTTGAATTGGAAGAGTTCAAATGTGTCTTCAGGGGTGAATGAGTTAATCTTTACATTATTGATACATGCATTCTTCAGACTACGTAACATGGAATATTTTATCACACAAACGTATCATAAAGCTCAACAAGACATCCTTTTTGGCTAAAATCGGTAATTATCCACTGGTCCAATTGATGAATTAAAACAAATCTTAGTCTGGAATACCATATAGAGCATAATTAGTTCCAAAAAATTATCGGAATAATTGAACAGATAATATAAATTACTTTTTTCAAATGAAACAAAGTAATAAACTTATAATCAAGACTGCATTTTGCATCTACAATTTCTTTTCTTTTTTAAATAGCAATTTTTTAAAGAATGATATTTTTTAAAGAAAACCAAACATGTCTGTACTTAGATGGGTCCATGCTGGAGCTTAGATTGACGATCCTAGGTCCTAGCTTTTGTCGTTCGTTTTTCTCCCATCCCACACATTTAGGACATTCTGTTCAATAAAAAATAAAGATCAGAAAATGAAATTAAAACCAATGAAATTGTTTTTTGTAATACAAATAGTTCAAACCACAACAGGTGAAAATTGGATGGAAATTTTTCCCTTCAAATATCTCATTGTACGCTCAATTGGATGGAAATTTTTCCCTTCAAATATCTCATTGTACGCTCAATTTTAAACTCTTGAAACATGCCTGTTTATACAGTATATCAGACCTGGGGGGTTTAGGGTAACTTTGTGTCTAGGAGGTGTATACACACAGTTTATGTATATCTTAATTTTTACCATGCAGAACTTCCCCCATGGACATTTCAAAATGTTGGCAAGTATGCTTTGTAAACATGTTTCCTCTTCTGTGATCTCAACCCCAACCCCCCCAGATCTCATGCTACCATCTATCCCAGGAACACATACAGAAATGACTTATTAGCGACACTTGAGCTGTGTATCCCTTCTCAGTAGTGCTTAAAATTACACTGTTTTAAATTCCAGACCTCATCCCAAACTATGGTGATTCTATTCATGACAAATTTGTTAAACAGGAGGCAATGGTCTAAATTGCTAATCCAGATTGCTTTTTTTTTCTTTTTTTAATCAGATTTAACCAAAGCAATGTTTCAGGAGGATCAAGGTTACAGTAAATTAAGCAAATTTCACATTCCTTCATTCCCGTACCCTATGGAACAAATACAATGAATCTATGCCTCATACTTCTCAAGAAGTTATTTTAAAATTCTAACATGCTTTAACTCTGATCTTGACATTAGGTCAATGTCAATTATTTGAACAAATTTGATAGCCCTCTTACCCAGGTGGCTATAGAACAAATATTAAGACTATAGATCCCGTGGTTCTTTATAAGATTATTTGTTACATGAAGAGTTTAAATACTTCTGACCCATGTCTTGAATGTATGCAAGGTCATTTATTTGAACAAATGTGGCAGCTTTTAACAACAGCAAGTTACAGTACAAATGTTATGACTAAGCTTTATGTTTCTGCAGAAAAAAACCTGTTTAAATAAAAGTTGAGGAGATACCTACAGAAGACAGTTGCTGTGTTATCACACAACCCACTATGTAACAGGTAAGCTGATTTATTTACATACCTGTCAATTCTTTCATGGATGTAAACTTCACGGTAAATACGAGACTGCTGGTTATGTTTCTAACTCCATCTTTACTGCGATCTCGGAAACATAACACCTGGATTTCACTGAGGTTATCTCCCCTGAAAATAGATTTAGTACAGTAGGATGAGCAAAGCTTCACTGATTAAAACTGTTTGATTCATAGTAATAAAAAATATACTCAAATGATACACTGTAAAAGCACTCTCCAGTTGACTATTCATACAGTTTACTGGTCATATCTTAGGTATGAGAGCATTTCTGAACAACTAGAGTACTGACCGTTAGTATTATGAGAATAATGACCATAGTACAATGACAATGATGATAATGACCACTCATGAGCTAGAACACTCATCATTTGTGGGCTACGAAAATACTTAAAAACATTGCAGGCTATACAAAAACATGTTCCAATCATATTCATGTTTAAAATACTGACCATTTTTGGGCAATAAGAGCTAGGTAATTCCTGAGAGGCCAGCCCGGATGGCCGTCCAATGTACATGGGTCAGCAAAACCAAATGTCACCTGTCAGAGAAAAAAAATATTACATGATAATAACTGAATTCTAGATCTAATATATCTACTCAACCAACTAAAGAAAAATTGAGTTTTCAGAAAATTATATATACCAGGTATCAATTAAATAAATGCAATAAACATGTAAGAAATCTTATTCTAGATGTAAGAGTAAACAAACTTTAAAATTGCAATTCATAATCCTAATTACACATTATATAACTGAATCAATATCTTACACTCAAAGAGGAAGGACAAATTGAGACAAACCTTTTTGGAATCAGCTAAATGTTTATCCATACATTTGACCTCTTGAACTTGGACCTCTGTATCCATGGTAATAAGGAAGTAACCGACAAATGAGGAACATGATGACTGAAACCTATCATAAGAAGATTCCAGGAGTTTGATCTGATGAAAAAAAAGGAAAAGAAATCAATATGCAGCAGAAAGTTGACAAAAAAGTTCAAAGAATTCACTGTTTTAAACGTTAACTTTTTAATGTCATCATGATATTATTCTTTGAGGTATCGAAACTTTAATATCAAAACAAGGGAAATCAAAATGACTATAGAAAACGGGAATGGTTATTATCTCAACACCCTGTAAGTCATCTTAATAATTATAGTCCACAATTTCCTCTATTTACTGGCAATATAATCACGACAAATCTGAACTCAAGCCCATATGTCTACAATGGAACAATCATGATGTCTGTATAATCTTGAAAACTTGGTATGGATAGGAAATTGTTCAAATATTGCTCTAAAATGATGGTAGGACTGTTTGAGGTGGGACTTTCCTGGGAAAAATGGCAAAGTTAACTGCACAAGGCAGGGCTTAGTGGAGGGAGATAAGTGTTACCTTAGGTTCAACTAGGAACAAGTGTTACCTTAGATTTCACCAGGGACAAGTGTTACCTTAGATTCAACAGGAACAAGGGTTACCTTAGGTTTCACCAGGAACAGGTGTTACCTAAGATTCACCAGGAACAAGTGTTACCTGAGATTCAACAGGAACAAGCGTTACCTTAGATTCACAAGGAATAAGTGTTACCATTGGTTCACCAGGAACAAGTGTTACCTCAGGTTTCACCAGGGACAAGTGTTACCTTAGATTCACCAGGAACAAGAGTTACCTTAGATTCACCAGGGACAAGTGTTACCTTAGGTTTCACCACGAACAAGTGTTACCCTAGGTTTCACCAGGGACAAGTGTTTCCTTAGGTTTCACCAGGAACAAGTATTACCTTAGATTCACCAGGAACAAGAGTTACCTTAGATTCACCAGGGACAAGTGTTACCTTAGGTTCAACTACGAACAAGTGTTACCTAAGATTCACCGGGAACAAGTGTTACCTTAGGTTTCACCAGGGACAAGAGTTACCTTAGATTCAACAGGAACAAGGGTTACCTTAGGTTTCACCAGGAAAAAGTGTTACCTTAGATTCAACAGGAACAAGGGTTACCTTAGGTTTCACCAGGAAAAAGTGTTACCTTAGATTCAACAGGAACAAGGGTTACCTTAGGTTTCACCAGGAACAGGTGTTACCTAAGATTCACCAGGAACAAGTTTTACCTTAGGTTTCACCAGGAACAAGTATTACCTTAGATTCACCAGGAACAAGAGTTACCTTAGATTCACCAGGGACAAGTGTTACCTTAGGTTCAACTAGAACAAGTATTACCTTAGGTTTCACTAGGAACCAATGTTACCTTAGGTTCAACTAGAACAAGTATTACCTTAGGTTTAACTAGGAACAAGTGTTACCTTAGGTTCTACTAGGAACAAGTGTTACCTTAGGTTCCACTAGAACAAGTGTTACTTTAGGTTCAACTAGAACAAGTATTACCTTAGGTTTCACTAGGAACCAATGTTACCTTAGGTTCAACTAGAACAAGTATTACCTTAGGTTTAACTAGGAACAAGTGTTACCTAAGATTCAACAGGAACAAGTGTTACCTTAGGTACAACTAGGAACAAGTGTTACCTAAGATTCACCAGGAACAAGTTTTACCTTAGGTTTCACCAGGAACAGGTGTTACCTAAGATTCACCAGGAACAAGTTTTACCTTAGGTTTCACCAGGAACAAATGTTACCGTAGGTGTCACCAGGAACAAGTGTTACCTTAGGCTTCACCAGGAACAAATGTTACCATAGGTTTCACCAGGAACAAGTGTTACCTTAGGTTTCACCAGGGACAAGTGTTACCTTAGGTTTCACCAGGGACAAGAGTTACCTTAGATTCAACAGGAACAAGTGTTACCTTAGGTTCAACTAGGAACAAGTGTTACCTAAGATTCACCAGGAACAAGTGTTACCTAAGATTCAACAGGAACAAGTGTTACCTTAGATTCACAAGGAATAAGTGTTACCATTGGTTCACCAGGAATAAGTGTTACCTTAGGTTTCACAAGGAACAGGTGTTACCTTAGGTTTCACCAGGAACAAGTGTCACCTAAGGTTTTACCAGGAACAAGTGTTACCTTAGATTCACCAGGAACAAGTGTAACCTTAGGTTTCACCAGGAACAAGTGATACCTTAGGTTTCACCAGGAACAAGTGTTACCTTAGGTTTCACCAGGAACAAGTGTTACCTTAGGTTTCACCAGGAACAAGTGTTACCTTAGGTTTCACCAGGAACAAGTGTTACCTTAGGTTTCACCAGGAACAAGTGTTACCTTAGGTTTCACCAGGAACAAGTGTTACCTTAGGTTTCACCAGGAACAAGTGTTACCTTAGGTTTCACCAGGAACAAGTGTTACCTTAGGTTTCACCAGGAACAAGTGTTACCTTAGGTTTCACCAGGAACAAGTGTTACCTTAGGTTTCACCAGGAACAAGTGTTACCTTAGGTTTCACCAGGAACAAGTGTTACCTTAGGTTTCACCAGGAACAAGTGTTACCTTAGGTTTCACCAGGAACAAGTGTTACCTTAGGTTTCACCAGGAACAAGTGTTACCTTAGGTTTCACCAGGAACAAGTGTTACCTTAGGTTTCACCAGGAACAAGTATTACCTTAGGTTTCACCAGGAACAAGTGTTACCTTAGGTTTCACCAGGAACAAGTGTTACCTTAGGTTTCACCAGGAACAAGTGTTACCATAGGTTTCACCAGGAACAAGTGTTACCATAGGTTTCACCAGGAACAAGTATTTTCTTAGGTTTCAACAGGAACAAGTGTTACCATAGGTTTCACCAGGAACAAGTGTTACGTTACCTGAGGTTTCACCAGGAACAAGTGTTACCTTAGGTTTCACCAGGATTAAGTGTTACCATAGGTTTCACCAAGAACAAGTATTACCTTAGGTTTCAACAGGAACAAGTGTTACCATATGTTTCACTATGAAGCAATGATACCTTAAGTACAAATAGGAACATAGGTTCCACTAGGAACAAGTATTACCTTAGATTTCCTTTGTTGGCCCTTATGACCTACCCTGTATTGATGTGCCGTTTTGATAATAATAGTAATAATATTCACTAGGAAGTTAGGAACAAGTGTTACTTTAGGTTTCACTAGGAACAAGTGTTACCTTAGGTTTTACCAGGAACAAGTGTTACCTTAGGTTCCACTAGAACAATTGTTACCTTAGATTCAACTAGGAACAAGTATACTTTAGGTTCAACTAGAACAAGTATTACCTTAGATTCAACTAGGAACAAGTGTTACCTTAGGTTCCACTAGAACAAGTGTTACTTTAGGTTCAACTAGAACAAGTATTACCTTAGGTTTCACTAGGACCCAATGTTACCTTAGGTTCAACTAGAACAAGTATTACCTTAGGTTTAACTAGGAACAAGTGTTACCTTAGATTTAACTAGGAACAAGTGTTACTTCAGGTTTCCTTTGTTGGCCCTAATGACCTATCCTGTGTTGATGGGCCGTTAACCATTTACAAATAATAATAATTATATTCACTAAGAACAAGTGTTACCTTAGGTTCCACTAGGAACAAGTGTTACCTTAGGTTCCACTAGGAACAAGTGTTACCTGAAGTTTCACTAGGAACAAGTGTTACCTTAGGTTCCACTAGGAACAAGTGTTACCTTAGGTTCCACTAGGAACAAGTGTTACCTGAAGTTTCAATATGAAAAAAACAATACCTTAAGTTTGAATAGGAACAAATGTTACCAAAGGTTCCACTAGGAACAAGTGTTACCTTTGGTTCCACTAGTAACAAGTGTTACCTTAGATTCACCAGGAACAAGTGTTACCTTTGGTTCTACTAGTAACAAGTGTTACCTTCGGTTCTACTAGGAATAAAAATCATTAGTAAGTAAGTATCAACAAGCATAACATAAAATCAAACCTGTTCTGCAGAAAATGCTTTATCCAAGGTCACTGGTGTCGTTACCATGGAAATGTCAAGTGGTGGACAAAGACATGGAAATGCAAACCAGTAGTAATAGACGTATTTTTTCAGGTCCTGCAAATGAAGAATAATATCTGTACACAGTAATCAACTATCATGTAATTTTAAAGAAAGGCTTTTTCTTTTAAATATTTTTCTGCAAAAAAAAATCCGCCACAAAGATGCTGCAATACTCCCATTGTTTATTTTATATCTATTTTTTCTCACTTTGATGCAAATATACTCATATTATATACATATTCTTTAATGAAGAGGATTTACATAGTTGATATATATTAAATATATGTACTTACTGCATATGTAAGGAGTAGAAATCGTGACAACAGGGTCGGATCTTCCACGGCCTTCCCACTGACAATGTCTTCCCATATCTATAATACAATTCAATATCTAAACAATAACTTTACAGTCCATATTAAATATAAATACAGGGGTGTACAATTTATTTATTTTTAAACTAGTATGCAGACAGATTTAATAAATTCTAATAGTCTGAGTGATATTTTCATAAAAGCAAATAGAGAAAATTTTCATCCAAAATCAAATTTACTAGCACTAGGCATTGGGATAATAGAATTGCACACTTCTGTATTACATTATTATATACCGTACATTGATTGAGAGGTTTGAAGCTAAATCACTTAGCCATCCTGTTACAAAAATAACTGACTGAATCTGTGTCCTGAAATCACCTAAATCACTGCATCATCGCAAGCCACCAGTTTTAATCTACTGATGTTCCTACAATCGGGACTGGATTAAAACCTGTGGTATTCAACAATGCAATCTCTGATGATCATTAAACACCTCTACGATTGCTAGGGCTGCAACGATAAATCCTTTCATATCGCAATATTTTCTTGTGTATCGTATCAAATTGTTTTGTTTGTGTGTATCACGATACACTAACTACTCAAATTATCAATCAGTTTTTATCAAACTCTAAAAAAGTGTACGCATATTTTTTTAATCCTTCTGTAAAGATGTGGTCCACTATGTGCAGTCATACCCAAAACTTCTAGAAATTATACAAAAATACATTTCGATAGTATTTATTATTGAAGTCTATGACAAAACTCAATATAGTCCTGTACTCAATCAGTAGGAAGTTGACCTTTTAAGCAGTCAGATATGTCATACCGTGATACGTATCATATCGTAAGCATCACATGTACACAGCGATACACATCGAATCGTGAGGTATGCGTATTGTTGCAGCCCTAGAAAATCAGTGTACCTGTTTGCCTGATTGCTCCAGGAGACTTTTTTTGTCACATTCTTTGAAACTGTCAATTGTATTTGTATTGTGCAGTGTTCCTACAGTCTTGAAACATCTGGTTGGGGTTTTGGAAATTCTGAAAATATCAATACATTTATTGGTATACACACAGTGTATACCCAAAATACACACTATCAGCCATGAAAATTAGAAATTGGGTAAATTGTAGTTTACATATAGGCTTGATCAGATCTTGAAAATGAGTAAAAAAGCATTTCGTTGTCAAAACAATGCTCTTATAATACCTATAATTCACTCATGAATACATAATCCTTTATACAATAAACAATACAAAATCACAGTAGATTACATGTCACTATACAATGCTATTTACTATTGTGCCTAATTCAGAAACATGATTATTTGTAGTATTTTAACTTACGTTTATGTTCTTTTACATCCAGTTAGCTAATTTGCTTATGTCAGAGACAAAATTAACATACATCTTTTTTTTGAGATGGAGACGAAATCAGGGAGGGCCAAAATTGCAGGCACCCACCCTGTTCCCAGTAGGGAGGGGGCTTATTTGCAAGAGGGGGCTTATTTGCGGTCAAATACGGTATGATATTCAGATGTATTTGCATTATAGGTATATTTGCTTGACATTTTGGAAATAATGCATTGCTATACCAGGTATGTTTAATATTTTTTAAATGCAATTAAGCTCAACAATGAGTTAGAAATCAAAATGCATGATACATTATTATATAAAACATACATGTAGGTACTTTATGGTAAATTGAATTTGAATATAATAATAACAATTTGAGGTTCTTATATACTGCTTTATCACAACCAAGTTCGTAGGTCATCTCAAAGCGGTTCACAAATTATTATCCGCAGTTATAGGGCCTTTGCAACCAGCCAATATCTTTCTCAACTCCCTGGGGAGCATACAGCCGGTGCTGCCATTTTGGCACTCACAGCTAGTATTCTACAATTCTAGCACTGCCCAACCACGTACTCATTTACAGCTGAGTAGACTGGAACAAGCGGAGTAAAGTATCTTGCTCAAAGATACAACACAGTGCCTTGCCGCGACTCGAACCCACAACCCTTCGGTCACGAGCTCGGCGTAAAAAGACTTTTTCGCTATTCGTAGTTTCTGTTATAGTAACTTACTCGTCAAAGGCAGTATACTCCACATTCATACGGCATGGTACACCAACAGGATCACCTGTAGCAATTATAGGTCATTAAGTGATGTTATGGACAGCTTCTATTTTCAAAAACTTCTTCATAGTAATTAATAAACCCAAGTAGCTGAAGGAGATTCAAAATTAATTGACTATGGACAAACAAACAATAGTTGCATGCGTTTCCCTTTTTCCTTACCTATTTTCTACCCAAATAGCAAACCTGAAAGGATTACGGTCGCCTTCTAGCTTTGAGCTGGAGGGAATTTCCGTTAAGCTCAATGGTAGAGCGTCCGACTAGGAACCTGGAGATTGAGGGTTCAATCCCCGGTGGAAGCACACTATTCTCTTTCCTGTTACATAACTAATAAGAAGAACATCTACCCCAATATTTTAAGGGAAGTGCAGGTACAGGTATTTTTACTTTCAGTTTTTGGTTTGTTTTCACAGGAATGTTTAAGATAATGTGTTTTACATGCGTTCAAAAGATGTATATAAGCAACATAGTTCTTTTCATAGTAAGATGTCATGACTAAGACACACACGTGATCAGATCACATGGCCTAGCTTGTTGACATTGGATTAACTAATTTTGATATTAAAATAAGATACAATGTGCTTAGAGATGGCTATTTAAATGAAACACAGGTACATATCGCAAATGAGAAAAAAATACTAATTCACTTATATCTTATTCGCTATAGGTTACATGTGCCGACAGTAACATTTATATTTTATATCATTTTATACTAATATCATATAATCATAATCATTATCAGTTAATAGTGACAAGAGGTTGCCTCACCATTGAAATAAAATCCATGTATAGGTTTCGGTGATTCGTCGAGTCCATAAATATTTAACTTGTTATCTGACAGTTTGTGCCAAAATCCTGCATCGAGAAAACTGCTGAAGGGGGCAAATTGGAGAGCTTTGTTAGCCATCTGTCAAAAGTGAAACCAGTCGCCGAATATAATATACTTCCAGTCACGTGATAGCGTACAAAAACTTCCGGGTAACAGCAGTTAATAAAGATAACATTTGTGATTGGTTAGAATTTCTCTTGTCTTTTCGATACGGTGGTAAATCTTGTACGCCTTTCCCGGTCCCGGACTAAAATCCCGTACCAGGAATAATATGAAATAGGCACAGCCCATAAACGAGTGCACATCGTTCAGTAATCTTTGTGATGATAGTGTAGATTTCGGGCGCCTGCGGCGCCCCCAGCTAAGAACTTTTAAAAAGGTAACAAAACGAACAGAATCCCTCCTTAGGACATAGTCACTGAATATTCTTCCATGATAATGAAATGAATAGTAAGTAGTTTAAAAAAATGTATTTTACTTAAGAAAACCTGTCAGATATTCCATGTAGGCCTTTTTTGTTGTTATTAATTTACTATTATTTTAACACCCATGTCAATATATCGCCTGATCTATTTAGGGCAAAATTTTCACAAGACAAAATGAAAGAAATAGGATCTACTGTGCATAGAAAATATATGTTAACAAGGAAAAGTATTGCAAGGCAACCCATAGACCCCAGAACCACCGGTTAAGAATTTCTATACAAAAACAGTACACTTATGTCAGGAAGCATATATATAGGTCACAGTGATGTCAAAGTGACCTACTTCACTACACCATCCCAAGATATCCTTGTTCACCAAATCTGGTTGCTCCAGGTGAAAAAGCATAGACTATTTTCAAAAGTAAAGGTCAAGTCATACGTCACAGCACGGTAGGTAGATAGTGGGGAAGTATACATTCTTGATAGTTTGATAGGAAATACGAAACAGATGGGTTTAACCGGAGTGAAGAGTTAGAGGTTGACACCACTTGCATGAGACAACATCTTGTGGAATCAGAGACGTATAATACACTATACGTCTCTGGTGGAATGTATTTCCAATTGGATCTTTACTAAATTTTCTAAAAATGAGTAGGCATACGCAAAAGAAGACTTCTTTATCGTTTGATATTTTATTGATTGCGAAGCAGATGGGTGTCATATCTCCTTTTGAAAAAGAACACAACTATTTCAATCATAAAACCATTTTTTAGAGTTATAATAAAAATAACCATTTTTACTAATGATGACCAATCATAATGATGATCAGGAATTCTGATTTTGTGAACTATTATTAATCTTATATATATATAGATTAAAAAAATTGGGCTCTTATGTAGGTAGAATTGCGTCCTCGTCGCAGAGCCTGGTAACATTCTAATAGAATGGCTAAGAGTTCTACTTGATAACGACATAGCTTGACAGAGTGATGTCCCCTTAGTACGGGTACGGGAGTAAACAAAACTCCCGCGATCACAACAAAGTCAGAATTGCATGTGAAATATGTCGTTTATTTCAACGAAACTTACATAGTTATAATTTTCTCTAAATATCTAATTATATAAGAAAAACCGTGATCTTAACGCTTGACTGCGGCGTGCAAGTTTTACCCCCTTGGAATACACATTATCGTCAATTACTAAATAATTAGATAATAATAAAAAAAATCTAAATTCCACATTTAGAAAATAATGTTTGAAATTATTATATGATTCTAAAATATATATAAACTACCAATTAACGAGATATTGAAGTGTCTTTATATACTTGGTACGGGGTTTCAGTCCTGGACCGGGAACGGCGTACAAGATTGATCTACAAGATTTATCTACCACCTTTCGATACCTTTCTAGCTTCATAAATAAGACAATTTAATCCGAATGACAACAACACCCATGCTGTTGCGTCATGACATGAATAGATTATTAGGTTGACCAGTGGTCAGTCACCAGCGGCGGCAGTTAGACGGACTGAATGTTGCTCCATCCAACTTACGAAGACACTACCATAGCAAATTTCTAGAACTTGGTTCACTTCATATTTTTGTGTCGCGCAATAGATATACACTCCGCGGGCTTTTCAAACGGAAAACTTTGTGTACTATAGAAGAAATTTTGACAGATCAGCTGTCCCATAAACCGCACCATGCATCAAGTTAGTTTCGTTTTGGTGTTCTTTAACACGCTCTTGTTTTGCACGTGTGGACCAGGATTTGCTGACGTTGACAGAAGTAAATATGAGGATGGAAAATCCCGTTTTGAAGTCATTGATAGTCAGGCAAGGTTACCCAAATATGGGCAGTGTTGGCAGAGTGCTATAGCGGTCATTCAGAAAGGCTGCAAACAGCTGACACATATTGTACAAAACCGATTAGCTTTGGCCTATTTAAACTGTTTTCTTGAGGATCAAGGCCGCTTGACCTATCCATGCGACGTGGAAGAATCAATCTCATCCTGTACAAAACATATGTCTGATGTTGACCGAGGATCTTTTACAACGTTTTTTACATACACCCAAAACATTTGTTATTTTCTAGAATCACAGATTTGGCATCAAGAAACAGAACAAACCATAACACGATTAGCTCACAGTTCTGAAAATGTGGCTGACCGTCTTGAGGAAAGTAGCAAATTACAAGAAGCTATGATTGGACAACAAAATTTAACTCTACAAAATCAGGAAATCATTCTAGATAAAGCTGCAAATTTAAGTGACATAATATCAACATCATCGGATAACATGCATGAACTGTATACAGAATTTAAAAAATCTACAATTGAACAAAAGCTGTTAATAAATGACATGTTTGATAAAGTCACCAAGCTTCAAACTATGGTGCTTGGAGAATTTTCAGGATTTTATTCCATGATATACTATACAGTTTCTGTGATAATGTCCTACCTATTGACCTCATCACAAAGGACGGCAAGTGCTCGATTCTGGCTGTTTGGTATTTTAACCATTGGAATAATTGCTGAGAGGGCCATGGTTTCCATCCTCAATGGTGCATCATCATTTCACGTCGACATACCCATGGAGACGGATCTTGAAGTAAATTATTTTAAAGCTTGTTAAGAAATATCATGCATTTTGATGAAATCAATTTTAGCTGATAAGCCTTGGTAAAAAGAAGAGATCCTTGGGTATAAACAGGTTGCTACTATAATGAAAAGAGTATTTGCAAATTGGGAAAAATTTATGTAACTATACAGTATAGATGGATGGTTAACCTGTTTTTTCATTTTTACCTTGCTGTGGTAAAATACTAGCTATTTCTTACTGACTCTGCTAAGTAGAATTTAGAATTTCTCTCCAGCTCATTTGGCAAATAGTAAAACTAGTAAACCAGATGTTCCGAGTTCAACTTCGAGTGGAGGCATTGAAAAAATGACCCCTGTTACATTGGCTCCCATGTAGGGACCAGAGAAATATTGACAACCCAGAATAAATACTTTCACAAGAATCGCTATATGACACTTAGAAAACTTTGAGTGAGTTTTTTTCCTGGAGGGGGAGACTATGTCGCCCTGGTAAAATACTTACACTTCTTACTGACTCGGGTAGGGATAATTCGTCTTTAGCTTAATTGATAGAGCATAAGACTAGTGAACTAGAGGGTCTGGGTTTGACTCCAGTTCCCTTTCTAAACATATCCCTGTTTAAATAGGCCAATGTTTAACCCAGATATTGTCTTAACTGACCCTGTCTACCCCAGATACTGTAAAAACTGCACCCTGTCTTGCCCAGATAACGTATATAAGTAAGCTTCATGCCTAATCCAGGTTCTGCATGAATGTGTTATTGGACCATGTCACTAAGACAGATACAGTCTATCTAGTTGCCTCAAAATTAAAGTTCTAGAGCCAATAAAAGGCTGCTTCCTTTAGCACAAAATTGCTCGTTTTCCTCAATTAAAGAAAAATTTGGGAATATTAACAATTTCTTATTTTGATAAAAAGCAATTGATGTAGGAACAGACTTGCAAAATCTAGGTAGAAAAAACACTGAAACAATCTGTACATTCCAATCTTTCCATTTTTTCAGCGCAATATTGCTTTGTATTGCAGTTAACACTTTTTTTTCTGAAAGAAATTCAACTTATTAATTAATTGCATATTTTGCCATTCAAAGGTAGGAAAACATCAATACCTTGGTCACTGTATATACATTTGTAGTTACATTTCCGTAGCTACAAAGTGAATATTGTCTTTCGCTTTTAACTGCGAGACTATTCACTAATATTAGTTTGTAATTTCCAATGTGTATGTCAACATGCATGATAGCCATTACTATGTGAACTTACTGTAAATCTACTGTATTGTAATTGTTAAGTGCCATAGAACTTTTTTGGGGGAATTTTGTTGCCATTCCCGTTGAAATTAGGAGTAAAGTAGTTATCTCAAATTGTCTTCAAAATGTCCCAATGTAATTTAAACAAAACGGTTTGTTTTCAGTGGATTATACAACATTTAATATCTAGAATAAGACTATACCTAAACTGTATATCACGATTACATCTGAATTTCTAAGACAATAATTTATTTATTTGAACAACCAAAAAATTTAGGGGTTAAAAATCAGATTTATTTTATTAACTCCCGATTTCAGACATCATCTGGTCAGTTCCAAAACCACGGCTCTATTACCAAAATAGTGGATACAAGCCCTGCACAGGGATTTTCCAACCAAACATTTGGTCCCCTATTTACCAGTGAGTGGCAAGCTATCGTGATACATGTTATGTTACACCAGTCCTGTGGTAATATATATCAATACAGCCTCTCCGTGTTGTGACACTCTAATGCTGTAACCCATGATTTGGTATTTGAAGGAGATGGTGTACACCAACCAGTGGCTTTGCAGAAAGGTATGCGGAGGTTTGGCATTGGTCATCCTAGCCATATTTGCATACCGTTATCGTGACATCAACACCATCAACAATGAACTCCTCATGGACATAAAACGACAGAACTCGGAGCTCCGGCAATACCTCTTAAACACAACACCGACAGGTGAGTATACTGGTACCTTAACCCTTTCACCCCTATATAACTTTGGTAGACTTGGCCATGCATTGATATGGACGTGTCCATTATGGTCTACAGTGGTGAAAGGGTTAAGATCACCGGTGGGGGGAGGAGGAATTCAGTCAATTTGTCTGTGTGAGTCTTATGAAGTCTAAACTGTGTTTCATGTACACCAACCTAAGATGACTGTTTGACATCTTTAGTTAAACTCTGGGAACCAAAAGAAAATTTATTAACAAATTACTTGATTAATCATCCAACGCATGAATTTTAGTATGTACATTTGTACGACTGAACCAGTAAATCACAAAGAGTTTCGAAATTGCATTTTTATTTTATTTTAGCTAACAATGAGGTTTTCAGGAAAACTAATCGTGTAAGATTGTATAAGTATTAGTCAAAATATGGTATGAACTTATAGGTGATGTCAAAATATGGTATGAACTTATAGATGATGTCAAAATATCTTCACTGAAAATCAGAAAGGTATCATGATTATCATATTTTGTATTGTATTAATTTGATAACTTGATAACCCAAATATTAAACAAATGTAGCATTTAATGATTGTATTGTATTATTTCTTGTCATTCTAACAGACAGTCACATGTGTCCTGAAATACTAGTACATGTACTGTTGACCAATAGTTATGAAATAAGTGATTTTTATGCCCCACCGGGAATGTAGTCCTAAAGGGTTGGTATGTTGTATGTGTAATACTCACAGGGTATAGCTTATATTTACTCATCCCATTGTTGGTTTTGGGAGCTTCAGAAGAAAAGCAGGATAATCACTATGTATTACACATGTGTAATTATGTCTGTTCAGGTACCTTTGGATTAAAAAATCAGGAGTTTTCTAATTCCCAATCCAGCATGCTGACCTCCTCTTCTCCATTGGCAGTAGCTGCAGATTGTAAGTATGAATCTGGTGGTCATAGCAACAGTAAACTGCTCCAGTATTGTAATCAGTGGAAGTTATCATTACCTGTAAGTCACTGTGGAGGAATCAGAAATATACTAGTGGATTGGCTGATAGTCGAAAATAATCCTGAATCAAGATACACCTAATTAATTCATTAGGAAAGTTTTACAACCTTTTCAAATCTTTTAGAATGATGCAGAATGGCATTTTCTTATGTTGAAATTACTTTAAACAAACATAATTCCTAACCTTGATTAAAATAGTTAATTAAGAGGTAATTTACAACTCGGAGACTAGAAAGGGTTTTAGTGTCATTCAAAACAATATGTGTTCAGTATTTAATTAAAAATTAGTAACCTCCAACAGAAAGAAGGGATATTATTTATCGAACCTTTTACACCGGAAATATTAAAGTAAATATGTGACAACTGTTGAAATTGTATTGTTGATATGGTTATAGAGGCTTAAAGCCTGACTCCATTATAATGAGTTGTAATATATTTCTAATTTTAGCAACAGGATATGAAACTGATTCTGCTGTTAGTGACTGCAGCTACTTCACGGATACTGAATCTGTAACCACGGGAACAGACCACACCTTCCAGCCAGCACTGACCAACTGGGAGGACTCGGAGAATGAAACCTGTTCTTCTGTCACGCCGTCGGATATTTCTCGGATTACTCAACAAGTGACTGATTTTGGAAAACCATGTTCTGACTTGCCCTTAAATATTGATACCTGGGCCAAAACTGGTTTCTACAGACATTCTACACCAATTGCAAGTAAGTTTTATTTCCCAGTCGAACTGCCAGAAGTTACATACAAATAAAGTTTAGTAATAAAACTATGTCTACATCAGGTGTATGTCTAAAAAAAGACCAGGGCTATTTCAGAAGTAAATATTTGGGAAAGAGGCACAATTGTAGCCCCCACTACCCACAATTGTGTTTTTCCTATGGCCCACAGTACAACATTTAAGATTTTAGACCATGTGATTAACCATGACAGCACTCAGGTGTGTGATCAGACAAGTCTTATTACTTATAACGTCTGTTTCTTGTCATGCCGTGTTAAATTTAATATATAATAAAAAAATAAAAAAATAAAATGAGGGGGGGGGGGGGATAAGGATACAACATTTTTCTTTTCTATTGTGTATTTTGTATTTTAAATCTTGCACTCAACTTTTTTTTTTTCAGAAAATAATGGTTCCGATCTTGATTCGTCCATAGCAGAATCTGTCAAACAAAGGCGGAATAGATCACAGACACCAGAGCAAGTAAGTTCTCACACTGCAAGATCTTAGTGTTTTTCTTTCAAAGCATGCAGTACTTTTACTAATACATGTACTAGTATTATAGATTTGAGACGTGTGCATATACAAAAGGTTGAAACGTGTAAATTGTTATCAATAAAACTCACAAATGAGACCCCAGAAGGATATGTATTGACACGAATGAAATCATACATAAAATATTCTTTGGAATGTTTGAATTTCTTTTCCATTCTTTACAGTGTACCAGCGATACAACGCCAAGATACTGTTTTAGACCGAGAACTAGACGTTTAAACGACAATCCTGTCACAAGATCGGAGTCTCCAAGGACATTTTCACGTGTGGTCAAACAACTGGAACGGATTGCAGTGACAAACAGCATGTTGGCCACCACTTACACCATCAAAAGGAAAAGTAATATCTCCGATGTGTCAGATTATGATGGCGGTGAACATCGGTGATTCTGTACTGCGACTGAAAAACTTACCTCTGTGTGGGGTCAGTGCTGCTCAATGTGATAGCTGGGTTTGAAAAATGTTGGAAGTAATGTCTAGGTGCATATATTTTAACCTCTTTAATGCAACCAACTTTTTCTCTGAAAATTCCCAATACACCCATTGTATGTAACTAAATTGTGATAGGGAAATAAGTTCTTTGGAGGTTTACCGAGAAATGGTTTCTTGTAAAAATGTAATATCAGCATGATCAAGTCTAGATTGTTTGTCTTGGGCTAAAACTTCTACAGTAGAGTTGTTGGTCATCTCGTCACAGACACAGCTCAATGACCTTGTGGTCACAGTTCTTGCCAATACTCAGGTGTGTCACCAGACATTTTCTTAATCTTTTATACAATATACAACATTCATTAAAGTAACCACCTCTAATTGTGTTCAAAGAAATATCTTGATTACTAATTAATCATATACAACACATTATAATGCTTATCACATAATGGTGTATAAGAAAATACTAACATCTCCATATAAACAGATGACATAAATATTGAAATTAATTATATTTGATTGTAGAGTGTTCCATGTCAAGTGACAGCTTTCATTCCATAAAGCTGGTATTGAATACATGTCCAAATGTTTATTTACGTGTATACGGTATGTCTGTTCCATTGACTACACATTACCACTAAAGGATAAACAATGTGTGTATTTACTTACAGTAGTGTGCTATATTCTAATAAATCAACAAACTACATATCTACCAGTATGGAGCCTGTATGAAATCCATGTCAGTGATTTTTCAGCCTAAATTTTACAGCAGGCTGTTCCTACATGAATTGTGAAATATTTGGCATTATTTTTACTATAATTGGGAAATATTCCTGGGTTTTTTTCCTCACTTTGGGAATATTAAGCACTTTTTAGCCAGGGGAAGCAGACTGTATTTGACTGTGAAACTAGGCAAACAAATCACTGCATGTTTGCATGTTTTTTAATTTTCTTTTCTTGTTTACATATTTTGGTGTGCTTCAAAATGTTATTGCTGTTTTTATCCTTAAACTTAACTGAAAGTGTTTTTATTTTTTAATCTTGATTTTACAGATTGCTGTATCTACATAAATTTGGAAAGGTATTCCTGTTTTATTTTGTCAAGAACAGTGCTTCACCCTGTATTCGACTGTAAAACAAAATCATGATGTGATAATGTAAATTACCTGTTTTATAATTTGATTGATTTTTCACAGCTTTTATAATTATAAGATGTGTGTGTGTGGGGGGGGGGNTGATCTGGGGGGGAAATCCTCATATTGTCAGGAAATGAATGTCGGATGACTGGATTATGGAGTTGGTATGTAATCGGGTTAAAAAAAACAAGGATCAATTGTTTTATTTTATTTGTTTTATTGTTAAATATAAAGAATATGTTTTTCCCCTCAATATGGAGATGATCTATTTTGAAATATATACAGCAACTCTTATTGACCAGCTGGACGTTAGTTTGACTAACAATTATGAAGAAAGAATCCTTTATTTTCAACGATTTATGTGTTCAGGTATATTGATCAAGAAATGACCAAAATTTACTAACATGGTTTTGTTGTTAATGTTGTATTTTGTTTTGTGTTTAAAAAACATCTTTTTTAAGTAAGAAAAGGTTTTTATCATATTGACTATGTCGTGGATTTTGCATATTTTTATAGTTTTATGTTTGTCTCAATAGATATTTTAATAGTTTTATGTTTGTCTCAATAGATATTTTAAGGAAAACAAATCAGTGCTCATTAGGACTTGTATGCATAAATATTTGAAATACAGATATGTTTAATTCAATTATTAATATGATATTTTAAGTTACTTTTTTGTAATCTGGTGAAATTACATTATTCTTGTATATCTTAAAACAGAAATGAATATTGTATTTAAATCAAATTTGCCATGATACCAAGTTTCATTGTCTATATTTTGAAGTTGAAATTTTAGGATTATCTGTGCTATTGTCTGTAGGCATTTTAACAGGAATTGACATTTAATGTCAGATTATTTATTGACATTTCATGATTATTTATTGTTATAACATTTAATTGATTTTCTTTTAAATTTTGGAGAATTTTATTGTGGTATTATGTATAAAATGAGTATACATGTATATGGAAAGTAAATAAAGACACTTTGATATTGATTTGACATGTTTATACATATTATATATACATTTGTTTTAAGATTCTAACACAAGATGACCTTGGTACAAGGTGTTGAACGTTTTCCTTCCCCACTAGTACTCTTTACCCTTGACATAAACACTGCTACAGCAGTAAGTGCTGTTTGATACATGAAGTACATGTGAGGGAGAGATTAGATGTCTTTTAATTGATAAACATAATTGGCAAATCACCTTTACGATAAATTTGACCTGGAAAGAAATGACATATCATCTCCTTATGCATAATTATAAATATGTCACCTAACCCTTTCACCCCTATGTAACTTCAGTAAACTCTTCCATGCTTTGATCTGGATGAGTCCATTATGGTCTTCAGTACTAGTGGCGAAAGGGTTAAACAGGGAATGGTGACATGTACTTTTTGGTCCATTTCCTCTCATCATCATGTTTAGCTCACCTGGCCCAACCTTGTTTTCTTGTACTCCTTCGATAAACTTGTATGGCACTAGCAGGTTTAAAATTGAAAATAAAATAGGTGAGCTATTAAGGCCCATGTGCTTCTTATTAGCTCACCTGGCCAGGAAGACAAAGTTGAGCTGATGCCATACCTTGTCATCTGTGTGTCTGTCAGCAATTCCTTTAACTGACTCCCTTGTTTGAACCACTGAATGGAATATTGCCAAATCTGTCTGGAGGAATCATCCTAATATGCAAGGGATTCAAAATTGTACGAATGGAGGAGGATAGATTGGTGGGTCCAGAAAGAAGTAATTTGACCATGTTGCCTTAAAGAACTTCTCTTCTGTAACTATTGATTGAAGTTGGTAGGGAATAAACATTGTACAAATTGAGCAACTGAACTCAAGAGGGGAGGACTAAAGGTTCAGTTTTTCCATATTGCTTTTATGTGACTTCACTAGAATTATGTGAGGTTATAACTTAAAAAGGAGATCCCACACTGGAACATATATATAATTGTTAAAGATAAAAATGAATACATTATATGCTACCAGGATTGATCTAGGGTCTAGCCCCACCCTGTTACACTCTATAAACATGTATCAACTGCTTGGTATGAAGAGATGACCAAATTCATGATATTAGATTCGACTCTTGACTAATATCCTGGGTCACAACTTAGAAACAGATGAGATCTTCTCCGTATAACAATATATACATTTACTAAGTATAAAGAAACAAATACTCTCCCTATAACAATATATACATTTACTAAGTATAAAGAAACAAGTACTCTCCGTATAACAATATATACATTTACTAAGTATATGGAAACAAATACTCTCCCTATAACAATATATACATTTACTAAGTATATAGAAACAAGTACTCTCCCTATAACAATATGTACATTTACTAAGTATAAAGAAACAAATACTCTCCCTATAACAATATACACATTTACTAAGTATAAAGAAACAAATACTCTCCCTATAACAATATACACATTTACTAAGTATAAAGAAACAAGTACTCTCCGTATAACAATATATACATTTACTAAGTATAAAGAAACAAGTACTCTCCGTATAACAATATATACATTTACTAAGTATAAAGAAACAAGTACTCTCCGTATAACAATATATACATTTACTAAGTATAAAGAAACAAGTACTCTCCGTATAACAATATATACATTTACTAAGTATAAAGAAACAAATACTCTCCCTATAACAATATACACATTTACTAAGTATAAAGAAACAAATACTCTTCCTGTAACCATCTACACATTTACTAAGTATAAAGAAACAAGTACTCTCCCTATACCAATATACACATTTACTAAGTATAAAGAAACAAGTACTCTCCGTATAACAATATATACATTTACTAAGTATATAGAAACAAGTACTCTCCCTATAACAATATGTACATTTACTAAGTATAAAGAAACAAATACTCTTCCTGTAACAATCTACACATTTACTAAGTATAAAGAAACAAGTACTCTCCCTATAACAATATATACATTTACTAAGTATAAAGAAAAAAATGCTCATATGCTACCACATTTGCTCTGACGTGTTGGCCCACCCAGGGAGACTTGGATCCTGAGACATACTTTTGACAGAGATTTTCACCCCTAACCAGATATACAATTATTGCTGGTCATAAAGAGAAGAATATAATCATGCTACAAGAATTGGCCTCTGGTTATGCATGAACCCTTAAACCTTAGGAACTTAGTCCTTTGGTCATAACAGTGAAACAGTTGCGATCACCACCCTATAACAAATATAAAATTGCTGAGAATGAATATTTGGATACACATACTTTACCAAGATTGTTCTAAAGGCATAGCCTACTCCTGGGTCTTATTTGCAATATCACTGTGGAAATATTTTCCTGCTATTGCTTAATATTAAGGAGAGCGATACAGACCCTCCAGGCCTCTTGTTTATTGATATCATTCCAATGCACCACAAGGTAACCATATCTAGCTTTCTGACCTGAAAGCCACGGTTACGTCCCCTTAATACGCAGTAATCGCCAGAAAGTTACTGCTCACCTGATTTTTATGATTTTAAATATATTTGGCCTTGGAGGCGGATCGAAGTTGTTGTGTCACAGTATACCAAGTTGTATAGCCCTACATTACATATATAAACAGGGAACTATTAGGAGTCGTCTACATCCCCTAAACTTGTAGAAGTTAAATTATGTTTATTACATACATCACAGGTACTAGCCAATATTATACTTGGGTATCGCGTGACGTCACGATTTACTGGGCCGCACACTGGACGGCAACTCGCGAGACTCGGCGACTCTGCGAGTTGAGAGTTCACAGTGAATCGAATGAGGCAATGACGACCATTAGCAGGTGTAAACAATCGACAAAAACAAGTAATTACCGCTCAAGTTTGGATAAAGAATCATCAGAAAGGTACACAGAGAGGCTTAAATTAATATTGACAGACGAGGCTAGTACCTGTGGTCATAGCGCTGCAAAAACGTAAAGCGTTGCTAAAATATTTGGGAATCATTGATCGATTGATAACCGTTGTTGTATTCAAACGAAAAGGGAACAATGTTCGAGTTTATACAACATCTAATGCTTGGAGCAGTATTTCATAAAATGCGACGAAATATTCATTTTACAACAGGTTGTGTGATTTCCCCATCATTTTACAACAGGTGGTGTGATTTCCCCATCATTTTACGACAGGTTGTGTGATTTCCCCATCATTTTACCACAGGTTGTGTGATTTCCCCGTCATTTTACGACAGGTTGTGTGATTTCCCCATCATTTTACTACAGGTTGTGTTATTTTCCCCATCATTTTACAACAGGTTGTGTGATTTCCCCATCATTTTACGACAGGTTGTGTAATTTTCCCATCATTTTACGACAGGTTGTGTGATTTCCCCATCATTTTCCAACAGGTTGTGTGATTTCCCCATCATTTTACAACAGGTTGTGTGATTTCCCCATCATTTTACGACAGGTTGTGTGATTTCCCCATCATTTAACAACAGGTTGTGTGATTTCCCCAACATTTTACCACAGGTTGTGTGATTTCCCCATCATTTTACAATATGTTGTGTGATTTCCCCCATCATTTTACAACAGATTGTGTGATTTCCCCATCATTTTACAACAGGTTGTGTGATTTCCCCATCTTCCAAGGCATTATAGCCTTACCAGACAGTGTGTCATTATTATAGCCTTACCAGAAAGTGTGTCATTATTATAGCCTTACCAGACAGTGTGTCATTATTATAGCCTTACCAGACAGTGTGTCAATGATGGCAATTTCTTCATCAATTGTGTTTGGTTTGCTTTCTGAGTCCAACTCTATTGTTTAAGTATATTGTCTATTTTTCGTGCTAAAAACTATTCTTGTCCCCTCTGAGGTATGCATCCCTAGTTTTCGTGCTATTGTACTTTATCCAAAAAGCTTTTCTTACTCCTTTAAAATTACAATCTGATGAGGTTTTATGAACATTCCGTAGCTGTCCTTTGAGACTAAAAGCAAACTTGTTAGCAATGCTGTATTCTATGTCTTGAAATGTTCTCATTTTACCCCCATTGTTCTAGGAATGCATATTTTTATCCAGTAGTTTTCTCACATTCGGCTTCGTTTTTAAAATCCTCGAATCTTTCTTGACGAATATCATTTGGAGTGATTTTGGCATTTGTCATTCCTTGCTTTTTGAATAAGTTCAGTGCAGTTGTTTTCGTTCCTTTCGGGATTCCACACCTGTGGATGTCTCCCGCCAGTTTCCCTTTGCTTCTACTGAAGAGAAGGCGATGATTGTGGATTCGCGGATGGTTGGAGAAAATGTCTTCTTGTTCCTTCTAAGGATATATACTGTTAAAACTTGGAACTGCAAACTTCAATGTTGGTACAATTGTATGTTTTGCTTTCTGAAATACACCCTACCTGAAACTCAGGTATAACTAGTCGAAAACCGAAATCCTACCTGCCAGAACAGCATGATTTCCCGTTGGTACCAAATGATAAATATATTGCCGCACAAGAACCTCTCCACAATATCAAGAAACTGCAAATAAAATATGCTCTTCAACAGAAATACGTCACAAGCCAATTAATATATTCATTTAAATCTGTCTGTGTTCATAGAGATGTGAACTGCCTATTGAACCTTGCGATTCAGCGACCGGGGATGATGTCGCTTAAACAAATATATCTATTTGCTTTTTCGTTACATATATTGATATTCGACACATAATTGTATTACGTGAGGCAATTATCTGTATATTGGCATAAGCGGTTTCTCCAAAAATAGATGTAGAGCATTTCCTGTCACTGCAATTCGTAAATTGACGTCGGTGCTAAGCTTATACCAACAAGGGACAAGATCTGTATCTATATATAGAGACACCCTTCTAAAGAATACAATTACATAGTCTACAGTCATAGTAACGGTCACTTTGCTGGTAATGTACATTCTCTGTATTTGTCTAGAAAATCAACATTTTTTCACAACTTTATTATCCTTTACAATATTTTCCTTAAAGCGTTCCTGAAACAAGAGAAATTTCTAATACGTTACAAGTGCAAAGTTTAAGTTTAAATGTTTAAATTCAATATCAAACAAAACTAACACACAATAGTTGTAAGAGATTGCTGAGTGTTGACATATTGGACTGCATTCGGTGCACTTTTAGGAGTATTTTAAAAATCAATATCATGTTATCTTATTTATTACTGCACATTATTCAACTGTTTCGATAATGTTATATCACATTTGAACATTTAAAAATTGCGATATACAAGAGACACCCATATACGTACCAACATTTCTATTTTTGAACCACACTCATTCAATTCACAATGTTACTGCTATATAATTACTTATCATTGAACATCTGTTCTCTATGGAACTGTGTAGCTATCTGTACTTGACTCGCAAAAAATACTCAGAAATCATGTTATTAATATGTTTAACCAACTATATGTACTATTGTAACTTTTATAATTGAGCTGACAGCAGAGGAAATTGTACAATTTCCTACAGTCAGAATAAATCTGTGTATCAGTGTATCTGTGTTATCAACTAACGAAAAGTGGCCATTCAAGGGCCGGACATGAGTGAATACATACTGGGCGCGACACCGACTCTAAAACACTTGATAAGAGAATGCATGTGTTGTGTCTCACCGCCACATGTGTGTTATCGTTGATAAGTTTATGTAACATGCACCGGATTACGTGTGGTGAATGATCATATTTCACTTTACTCATATGGTAACACCATAGTAAACATTTTCTTTCGCCATCTATTTAAGTTTTATTTTCTCTATTCCTCGTGAATTAAATAATTACTTATGTTTATTGACGCCCTGGGACACATTTGTTTAATATTTAGGTACTATATACATATTCTTTTATTTAAGTTCTTACCTGCTATAATGTTTTGAGACCAAATGACCAAAATAAGTAAAAATGTTAAGTGTTTCATCCGATCGCCAACGACCTTATTTAAATTCTGACTAAATCAATATAAGATTTGAAGTGGTGGTGGTGGTGATTCATAAATAAATTTAGGATCGCTACCTGCATTTAAATGATATCGGGTTGAATAAAATAGGCAACGAGGTTGGTCGACGTAACGCCCTCAATTTGTCAAGTTGACATATGATATGTGCATGCATAGCTTCTACCAAGTTTGCCCTGGACACTTAAAAACCCGAGAGCTATAGCAGTTTACGAATTGATAATGGACGGTGATTCTTGGTAATGTGCTGAATACTTTTGATGCAGATACTTTTCAAAAGTTACCAGACAGAATGCGATGGGATGATATCTTAAAGGGAAACATTCTGGCCACTGTTAACGGAGGATGCTCTGCTTATACAAGGACTTTTAAATGTTCACTGGTGTGACGACTTTAGGAACAGTGCTCATCACTTTTGAGACGGATGTTTTACACGTGCATGAGATTAAACCCTATTCGATGAGGCCATATTTTTATGGATTATACAATTGCCCAATATAACAGAGTGGTACCATGTACACGTAGATATTTACCGATTCTTCATTGTAAAACACAGCATGCACAGCATGAACATTATGCTTGTGCTGAGTTTCAGTACTATCAGTTTATCATGGTGTGCGAATGTTTTTTTTAATTTAAACAAGAATAAATATGAAGAAGGTCGAAATCTGTACGAGATCATGAACAGCCATACCAAGCGTCCCATATACGGTCAGTGTTGGAAGGACACCCTAGTGAAAATCAAGACTGGCTGTCGGGACTTAACCGATGTTGTTCAAAGTCGTATGGCGTTATCATATCTTAACTGTTTTCTCAAGGTTAATGGGAGGACCGTTTACACGTGTGGTGTAGAAGATCCTGTTCATGAGTGTACACAAGCCATGTCTGATACAGACATGAGTACATTTGCGACATTTTTTACTCAAACACATAACATTTGTTATTTTCTTGAAGCTCAAAATTGGCAGAATGAAGCAGAGCAGACGATATCAAAATTAGCAAAAAGTTCGGCAAACGTGGTTGAAATTTTGGAAGACAGCGCAATTCACCAACAAGCAATAATACACCGACAAAACCTCACTTTAGAAAATCAAGACATAATTTTATTGAAAGCGACCAATCTTAGTAATGTAATTTTAACAGCGTCTACAAATGTCTTCGATTTTTTTTCTGTATTGGAAAAGAGGACATTTGACCAGAAACTCTTGATAAATGACATTTTCGATAAGGTTGCAAAGTTGCAGACGACCGTCCTGGGAGGCTTTTCTCGATTTTACTCCTTGGTATATTACACCTTGTCTGTTATAGTGTCCTGTTTATTGACTTCTGCCAGCCGAACAGCGGGCGCAAGGTTCTGGCTGTTAGCTATAATGACAGTCAATATCATAGTCGAGAGGTTGTTTATATATTACTTCAGTGGATCTTTCTCTGTAAAGGAGGTCAATAAAATGACCGAGGCTGAAATTGAGGTGAGTATATCTTACCTTACCTTATGTACATTGTCAAATATTGCAACGATTGAAGCCCAAATCAATAAAGATTAATGATATTTTGCATAGTTTCTGTTATCAACAAGCATACCTTATGGCATGGTGCGGCGTCCGTCGTCCGTCCGGCGTCAACTTTTTACTTTAAACAACTTCTTCTGAATATCAAAGTTAAACCAAAATACCAAGTTTGATCAAATGAATGACCTTGACCCACTTTCAAAGTCACGGGGGTCAAATGTCATAAAATCTTCAAACGACTTCTTCTCAATACCCAAAAGGCCCAGGGTACTGATATTGGGCCTGTAGCATGCTGGGATGAAGTGTTACTAAGTTTGTTTAAATTAATGACCTTGACCCACTTTTAAGGACATAGGGGTCAAATGTCTTAACATCTTCAAACAACTTCTTCTCAATAACCAAAAGGCACAGGGTACTGATATTGGGCCTGTAGCATGCTAGGATGAAGGGTTACCAAGTTTGATCAAATAAATGACCTGACCCACTTTCATGGTCACAGGGTTCAAATGTCTTAAAATCTTCAAACCACTTCTTCTCAATAACCAAAAGGCACAGGGTACTTATATTGGACCTGTAGCATGCTGGGATGAAGGGCTACGAAGTTTGTCCAATTGGATGACTTTGACCAACTTTCAAGGTCACAGAGGTCAAATGTCTTAAAATCTTCAAATGACATCTACTCAATAACCAAAAGACCAAGGGTACTGATATTGGGCCTGTAGCATGCTGGGATGAAGGACTACCAAGTTTGTCCAAGTTAATGACCTTGACCCACTTTCAAGGTCACATGGGTCAAATGTCTTAAAATCTTCAAACAACTTCTTTCAAATAACCAAAAGGCCCAGGGTAATGATATTGGGCATGTAGCATGCTCGGATGAACGGATGACAAGTTTGTTCCTAAGAATGACCTTGACCCACTTTCAACTTAATGTCCTTGCTCACAACATGGTCACAGGCGTCATACGTTTAAATCTTTTAATAGGTTCTTATGAATCAAACACTGATATTCTGCCTTTAGCTGTATTTTAGTCCACTTTTAAGATAACAAGTGTGAGATAAATACCAGGTGAGCGATGCAGGCCAGTTGGGCCTCTTGTTAATTTTTGTTGTTGTAAAAACTTAATGCTTTTCATACTATTAAAAATGACACTTATCGCATTGCATTTTATTTTTGTTTACTGTCAAAAGGTTGTCCATTGCACGTGACTATTTTTCCATTCCGATATTTCACACCGGGTATCCCGATACAACAAACACGGAGCAGACTCAAATCGGGAAAGTGAGCGGAAGTGTTTGGGAAATTAAGCTGAACAACGGTCTCTATTTCAATTTATTTTCTACTACTTTCAAGAATGGTCATTAGTGTACATACCTGTGAAATAAAGAATTGAAACGACGACATTGAAGGTATTCGATGCATCATGTTTTTATACTTTAACTTTAATGAGGTTTTCCTTTGAAACTACAAGACGAGTATTATGTGCGCTTTGGAACTATTTTACGTAGTAATGATTGGAGACACCTGTGAGTAATACCGTGTTGCCTTTTTGGATTGGTTGTAATTTTGATGCACAATAACCCACATATTCAGGTAAAGGTTGGGCATATCGTACGCGGATAAAACGGACACAATAAACAATTGTTATTATTTGAATGCATGATTTTCGCGCAGGTGGTCTAAACAGAACTTAAAAAAACATTTTGCGCCCAAAAAACATTGTATTTCTATATTGTTAGTAACTTTCTTCAAACAAATTATCGGCTGAAACTCTGACTGTGCGTTCTTTGTGCCCAAAAATGACAACTCCTATCATAAAAACGCAGATTGTTTTTGCGAATTGTAGTTTCTGAAATCTGTGTTACTATTTTCAGTAGATGTCACCAAATCTTACTTACTGTGTAAAATAGTTAAGAGAGTACACACAACTATTTATAGGTAATACAATGGTAAAAAAAGAAAGAAAAATAAAGTGTCAAAATTAAATGAAGCACCAAATACCTTCAACAATGTCGTTTCAGCTGTAATTTTCACAGATATATCTACACCAATGAGTGGCCTTGACAGTAGTAAATAAACTGAAATATAAACCAATACCTTTAATTTTCCAAAAACTGTCATTAACTTGTTACAATATTGATAAATTTGACTATGTGGAATTTGTACCTGATCTGGTTCAGTGTGCCGGAATACCTGGTGCGTATTTAAAGCGTGGCATCACGTTTCATAAACATCATAGTAAGAAAACGTCGGTGATATTATGATTGGTCTAATTTGTCAAAGTATAAATATATAAACGTTATTTTCAGATTTACACCTTAAACATGTATTTCATAAGTAAAATGTAACGTCATAATATGCAAAAAGAATCATACTGTTGTTTGCTATTTATAAAGGATGGGTGTCTATAAGGCCCTTTTTTGGGCCCCGGTATATTCGGATTTTCACCTCCCTATTTTGTTCAAAGATGTCCTATTGTATAACAAGCGGAACAAGAGTCCTAGAGGGCCTGTATCGGTCACCTGAAATATGTTAAAAATTATTGGTATGAAGTAAAGATATAGCACTCCATGGTAGGTGCTGTAAGTACATAAGAAATTCAGAAAGATCCATCCAGTACTTGAGATATAACGAGAACAAACTTCAAACAGAGCCCCACCCTATGCCCCTAAGGGGGTCATACCCAACAAGTATACAAGAACCGAAGGATGCTCCAGACTAAATAAGGATAAAATCCCTTAATCCCGATGGTCGAAGAAGGATTTAAACGGTTTTACCTCTATTCCTCCTATTGGGCCCCGCCCTTCTGCCCCCTGGGAGACCACATCCACTGCTTATACAAAATTGAGTCCCCTTGGCTCAAGGATGCTCCAGACTAAATTAGGATAAAATCCCTTAATCCCTATGGTAGAAGAAGGATTTTAAAGGTTTTACCTCTATTTCCCCTATTGGGCCCCGCCTCTCTGCCTCAGGTGGGGGGGGGGGGACAAAATCCTGTCATTCCTACAGAAGAAGAAGAATTTTGAAGATTTTGCTATATTTCCCCTATTGGGGCCCTCTTTTCTGTCCCCAGGGGGGGCACACTCGCTGTTTTTACGAAATTGAGTCCCTTTTGCCCAAAGATTATCCAGACTTAATTAGGATAATATCCCTTAATATCTATGGTAGAAGAAGGATTATAAAAGTTTTACCTCTATTTCCCCTATTGGGCCCGCCTCTCTGCCTCAGGTCCCAGGGGGTTCCCCTTCACCTACGGATCCTTCAGACCAAATGTGGAACAAATTCTTTCATTCCTACAGAAGAAGAAGGATTTTAAAGAATTTGCTATAATTCCCCTATTGGGCCCGCTCCTCAGCCCCAGGGGGGCCAGACCCACAATTTATACAACATTTGTTCCCCTTCCCCCAAGGATGCTTCTGACCAAATTTGGTCAAAATCTGCTCAGTCGTTCATGACTAGTAGTGTTTTAAAGGAAAAGTGGACTACGGACGCTGCTGTATGGCATAAGCTCAGGTGAGCTAAAAGAAAACTACGGTAAAACTTTTACCGAAAGTGGTATTCTTAGGGTACCAAAAGGGGTAGGGTAAATCACAAATATAGTTTCCTGTTTTCAAAATGATCTTAAAAACAAAAATAATACCATTTCTGTTTTTGAAAACATGTATAAATTAGACAAGCATATGTAAGAGAATGAAAAATGACAGGAATTCAATCGTCACCTAAAGATTGTTTATAAATAACGAAGGATTAAGACAGGGGGTTGTTTCAGGTAATTTCCAAATGAAAAAAGTTTTGATTTCTCAATAATTTCCTTTGTTATTAATATTTTGACTGGAAATTTACAACTTTACTCATTTAAGTAGACTTACATAAATTCCATATTGACTACATACTTTCCTTCTGTTTCATACCGAGTTATGGCTTCTGGACACATATCAAACTTGGCTATTTCAAATATCTCTCAATCTTAAGCAAATTAAAAGGTGCAGGACACCCTTTATATGCTATAAGTATAAGATATCAATTGTTAGTATTGTATATTACATATATCATATAATATTTTCTCAACATCTGTGGCTGAAGTGAGTTCCAGGTCCTGATTTGTGTTTTTTACTTATCAAAGTTACCTTACAGATCAAAAATGGCATTTGCCATCACAACTACTGTGAAAATGATTGATTTAATATATGAAGTTTGATTTGCTTAGTTTTTCCGCTTGTCATATAATAGGACATTTTTGAACAAAATAGGGAGGTGAAAATTCGAATATACCGGGGCCCTAAAAAGGGCCTTATAGACACTCATCCTTTGCATTATTCGCTGAAATATATATATTTGCATGAAAATGAATAATTTGTTATCAAGGAGACCGTTTACACATACCAATGGTTGTGTAGAGAGGTGAGCGCAATCCTGTCTATTGCTGTCCTCGTCTTCTACATATACATCTACAGAAACCTCAAAGTCATCAACAACCAGCTGCTGCTGAAACTGAAGAAACAAAACTCGGAGCTCAAACATCAAGTCAAGGAACTCTCTAAAGATATTTCTATAATTCGTCATTACATCATGAATCAACCAATCGCAGGTGGGTACTACGGGAACACGTTCTAGACGGTTGTGCAATAAGTGTTTATTTACATATTTGTATTCAATTTAAATGTTCGGCATCTTGGAAGAGTAGAACCTAGCCTTATCAACTGTGAAATTTTAACTACATAATCAGGGACGGTTGGTATGTAAACAGGCATATCAACTGTGAAATGTTATCTACATAATCTAATCAGGGATAATTGGTATGTAAACAGGCATATCAACTGTGAAGTGTTAACGACACAATCAGGGATGGTTGGTATGTAAACAGACATATCAACTGTGAAATTTTAACTACATAATCAGGAACGGTTGGTATGTAAACAGGCATATCAACTGTGAAATGTTATCTACATACTCAGAGATGGATGGGATGTAAACAGACATATCATCTGTGAAATATTAACTACATAATGTACATAATCAGGGACGGTTGGTATGTAAACAGACATATCAACTGTGAAATGTTATCTACATAATCAGGGATGGTTGGTATGTAAACAGACATATCAACTGTGAAGTGTTAACGACACAATCAGGGATGGTTGGTATGTAAACAGGCATATTAACTATGAAGTGTTAACTGCATAATCAGGGATGGTTGGTTTGTAAACAGGCATATCAACTGTGAAATATTAACTACATAATGTACATAATCAGGGATGGTTGGTATGTAAACAGACATATCAACTGTGAAGTGTTAACGACACAATCAGGGATGTTTGGTATGTAAACGGGCATATCAACTGTGAAGTGTTAACGACATAATGTACATAATCAGGGATGGTTGGCATGTAAACAGACATATCAACTGTGAAGTGTTAACGACATAATGTATATAATCAGGGATAGTTGGTATGTAAACAGGCATATCAACTGTGAAAATATTATGACACAATCAGGGATGTTTGGTATGTAAACAGACATATCAATTGTGAAGTGTTAACGACACAATCAGGGATGGTTGGTATGTAAACAGGCATATCAACTGTGAAGTGTTATCTACATGAATGTACATAATCAGGGATGGTTGGTATGTAAACAGACATCAACTGTGAAATATTATCTACATAATGTACATAATCAGGGATGGTTGGTATGTAAACAGGAATATTATCTGTGAAATGTTCTCTACATAATCAGGGATGGTTGGTATGTAAACGGGCATATCAACTGTGAAGTGTTAACGACACAATCAGGGATGGTTGGTATGTAAACAGACATATCATCTGTAAAAAAATATTAACTACATAATGTACATAATCAGGGATGGTTGGTATGTAAACAGGCATATTATCTGTGAAATGTTCTCTACATAATCAGGGATGGTTGGTATGTAAACAGACATATCAACTGTGAAATGTTATCTACATAATGTACATAATCAGTGATGGTTGGTATGTAAACAGACATATCAACTGTGAAGTGTTAACNCAGGGATGGTTGGTATGTAAACAGGCATAGCATCTGTGAAGTGTTAACTACATAATATACATAATCAGGGATGGTTGGTATGTAAACAGACATATCATCTGTGAAGTGTTAACTACATAATGTACATAATCAGGGATGGTTGGTATGTAAACAGGCATAGCATCTGTGAAGTGTTAACTACATAATATACATAATCAGGGATGGTTGGTATGTAAACAGACATATCATCTGTGAAGTGTTAACTACATAATGTACATAATCAGGGATGGTTGGTATGTAAACAGGCATATTAACTGTGAAGTGTTAAGGACATAATCAGGGATGGTTGGTTTGTAAACAGGCATATCATCTGTGAAATATTAACTACATAATGTACATAATCAGGGATGGTTGGTATGTAAACAGGCATATCAACTGTGAAGTGTTAACGACACAATCAGGGATGGTTGGTATGTAAACAGGCATATCAACTGTGAAGTGTTAACGACATAATCAGGAATGGTTGGTATGTAAACAGACATATCAACTGTGAAGTGTTTACGACATAATGTACATAATCAGGGATGGTTGGTATGTAAACAGGCATAGCATCTGTGAAATGTTATCTACACAATCAGTGATGGTTGGTATGAAAACAGGCATATCAACTGTGAAGTATGAACTACACAATCAGGGATGGTTGGTATGTAAACAGGCATATCAAATGTGAAGTGTTAACGACACAATCAGGGATGGTTGGTATGTAAACAGGCATATCAATTGTGAAGTGTTAACTACATAATCAGGGATGGTTGGTATGTAAACAGACATATCATCTGTGAAATGTTATCTACATAATCAAATCAGAGATGGTTGGTATGTAAACAGGCATATTATCTGTGAAGTGTTAACTACATAATCAGGGATGGTTGGTATGTAAACAGGCATATCAACTGTGAAATATTATGTGAAATATTAACTACATAATCAGTGATGGTTGGTATTTAACTAGTGTGGAAGGTCAACCATCGTCAAATTAAGTCCACTTTGTTACAGTCTGGTAGTGAACTGGCCATTACTATTGTATACAGATTAAGAAAAGGAGTCTGGATATCATTTCAAATTCTGGACGTAAAAGAAATGTATGTTTTACTTGAAATGATATTTTGATGAACAAATATCACATTTTCTTCTGTATATGCAATTAATCGATCTGTACTCCTATATATATACTCCTTTCTTTCAGTATTAACATATTTTATTGACATGAGGACAGTCGAAAGGATATAGGTAAACATAAGGCCAGTTTATTCTATCAATATTATCTCTCGATTCTTTCTAAGATCGGAACACAAAATGTGTCTGAATCCTAAAGAAATTGTTCAGGGAGCCAAAACTTTTATCAAACTGCAATAAACGATATTGTGTACGATGCTAGACTGTTGTTGGTTATATACAAGACCCAGATTTGGCTTTGTCTATGCAAGATAATCGATGGTTATAAAGTTATTGAATTTTCGTTCTACCTAGACTGTTTTACTGTGAAATCGAATATTTTCATGGGGTCCAAATTTTGTGGTTTCCCGAAAAACACCATTTCGAGGGTGCATGCATTCGTGGATCACGTGTTCCGACTCATACGGAGTATGGCTTTGTTAAACTTCGATGCAGATTACCCACGAAATCAACGAAATTAAAAACCCCACGAAAAATAGTGATTTCAGTTATTATTAAAAAGTGAAGAAATAGCATATGGTTCTCATCAAGGTTTTATTTAAATGTGTATGTTTTAAGTTTAATTCATTTTGCGTATGCAAATGGTAAAGTTTCTTGAATCCGTTTAGTAAACTAAGCGAGTATGAAAATAGACATCTACACTGTATGTAGCATTTAACTAGTTCTATTTGACATTGGAATGGTTAAATTATACTTTTGAATGCTACAGATTCTGACGATTCGGATGCTGAATCATCAAGTAAAATCCTTCCGGCACGAAGGAAACAGAAGAAGTCGATATCTCCTCTACAGGTAAATACGTGATCTCACAGTTGTTGAAGACAGAATGAAAATGCTGTTGAATTGATAAAATATGATAGAAATAAAAGTAATTATATTGAAAATTGTTTTCTGGTCGATCAATTTTCAATGCTTTTTATAGTCGAAGTGTTTTATTAGTTTAAGTATTTTTTTGAATATTGTGGCTCATGGTAAAGAAGGGCGAGTGTCTAACTAATATTAGACATAATTATGTTTTCCTTGCACAATCGTTCATATTTGTCATATTTAGTTAGGTCTTTGTTCGTGGTTCACAGCAATGTGTTTGTTTGTTTATTCGTTAAATATATGTTACACCAAACGTTAACAGTTATGGATTTAACAAAAACTTGTTAGATATCCAGTTCAAATAAATAATAGAAGAATCAGAAACAACAAAACGTGAATGGTTGAAGAAGGTATATTGAATATTACGTTTGAAGTATGAAGGACCGGTGAAAACATAGAAATGATGTGTTACCAAAAGGCTACCAAAGAATTCGGGAATAAAAATGGAAGATTGTTATCATTACTATTGGAGAAAGCTGTAACATAGATGATAAATAATAACGTCAGTAAATCTTGAAATGTGTACCATTGATATGTAGGTTTTGCCAACGACGGCCAACGCCAACGAAACTAATATAGAGGCAGACGATCGGAGTGAAATCACTGTGGAAACTAGTGATCGGGAGCAAGCGGTAGCCACTTCCGGTACAGAGACATCATCTACAAGTTCCGGTGCCGAAGGATCAGGAAGTAGGTCAGAGGGACTTGGAACTTCTCCAATTGCAAGGAGATCAATGACAACGTCCGACACAGAGAGATCGGTATCCACTTCCGGTGCAGATATGACTCCCTTAGTAGACACGCCACAGGTAAATGTCTAGAATCATTCAAATTTAACTTTTACACATAGGAGGGTAAGCTGAAAATAATACAAAATTTAAACAATAGGTCAGAGTTGAAACAGGACTATTTTTTGGAGAGATACATGATTAATCCTAAAAAACGCTTTCTGTCTTGCACTATGATATGTTTTAACCAAGAGAACGTATTTACTTAGGGACACGCATCAAATAAAATAAAAAGTCGTTCCCAAGAAGTATCCCCCGAAAACCAATCTTTACTCAGGAGTTTCCCATATACACAGTGAGACTACACCAAATCAACCCTGACACTATGAATGTTTAAAATCATGTGTTCATTAATTGTACATGATGGTCAAGTCATGTATCTTTAATGGTCAGAATCGTTTATGTGTAAATTTTAATTATTGATCAGAATCATTTATGTATTAATTGTAATTATTGTCCATTATAATGTATGTGTTAATTGTTATTATTGATCAGAATAAATTAGGTGTTAATTGTAATTAACGGTCAGAATAGGTAGATGTTAATTGTCTTATAATTTATCATTATCATGTTTGAGTTAAATGCAATTATCTGCATCATGGTATGTGTTGTTTGCAATTTCAGTCATCCGGGTATTCGCTAAGATCGATGAGTCGTCCGAGAACGCCACCGTGACATGTTATACTCCTACGTCCCAGGATGCTGATGGCCTGCATCATGATATCTATAATCCTAGCTCATTGTTGGTTCACTTTCTTAGGTATGATAGTAGGTGACAAGGTTAAAAAAAGATAATAATTGTCCTAATTATGATTTGACAAAAATTATTAAATCACCTATCCACATTTCATTAACAATGAAGTTAGAAAAGGCTCTCCAGTGGCGAATCAACTGTGACATGTGCCATGATGAAAAATCCGGGGAGAGACTCGTATTTTATGACTGAGGAAAGTATAAATCAGCGTTTTTCTAATAGTGTCTTTCTGGATACGCCGCAGTGGGCCAGTTCTAAATCGAGACGAGGGGGTTCAAAGACTATCGCACATTTATGACAAAGCATTAAACAAAGCGTAGCTTAATCGAGTAATTTCGGTACATATATAACCACTATTGTACTATACATACGCTTAAAGCGTAGCCGAATCGACACCGATTTTGTGGACAACTCGTACACATTTTACACCCTTGTGTGCATACGCTTCACTGGTCCTTTGTCTGATGAAGATGACAGTGTACATATCGTATGAGTCATCGAAACGACGTCACATAGAAAAGTCTTTTGGTTGTGTAAAAAGAACTTTTCATAGTGTATAAATCAGCGACAGTTAAAGTATGTGGAAGTGTTTCCTGAGGTGACCATTATTGTTCTAATGAAAGTAAATGTCATTTCATCAAATTTTAGAAGAGGGGGCTGTTGTATATAGTTAATTTTAAGTTCTGTGAGATGAATATGACCAAAGTAATTGTCGAAATTATTGTTCTTTATTAAAATATATTTCTGAATGTGAAATTAAGAAAACTCGTGCAAGCATCTGATTTTCTGTTTTATTATTAAACTGATTGTAAATTGTAATTTGCTATTTCATTATATTTACCATCGTATGGCATTGCCACTAAATTCATATAGGCTATGCAAGTACAATTGATTTTTATATGAGATGAGCAGATTCCAAAATGGTAAATATAAGTATTGAACTGCCTTCAGCAGGCAGTCATAGGATGATGTGTTAACACTTGTAACTTGATTGAAAGTGTCATTAGTTTACACCTAATACTTAAAGCCTGAATTTTTCGCGTTTAAGAATACACCATACAGCTGTAGGTTTGGAAGCTTAGTCGAGGTGTATAGCCTCCTTGTAGCTTATATAATGGCGTCTGAACGCTTTATTTTAGTATGCTTTTAAATTAAAAAGACTGATTTTATTGATATGTTGTTGTTATTTATTGTTGGTTTATATTTGCGTTTTTAAAAACTCATTACAATGCAACCGCTTGAAAACACTGGAGGCTCATTTAGTTTATTTGGTTCTGAATATTGTGCTGTCAAAATTCCCCCGTTATTTGTCCTTCATTGTTATTCTTTATATTTTGCTCGGTGCAGACTGACCTGATTTCTTGTGAAAAAAACATGACTTAATCAACATTTTCTAATCTCCAAACTTAATTAATAATTTTCCAACATTAAATATGTTGATGAGCTGTTGGGATTAAAAAAAAGATTTGATAAATTAACGTCGAACAAAAAATAGAATTATGACGAAAAGAAATCGCCACAGGTATGACTAAATAAATGGGTTAAAATTGATGTAAAATCTTTCTATCTCTTCTTGAAACAAGAGGCCCATGGGCCTTAACGGTCACCTGAGTCTATAGTATTTATTTTTGTTGTTGAAATATGTACCAATTTGAGTAAAAAATAGTATAATGTTAACTTAACTTTGTCAGGACCATGAGCTGATCATTCCTAGACCAATTTTAAGTGAGATCGGCCTATTAGAACTTAGTAGCAAAATAGCGGCCATGGCAGCCAAATTGTATTTCTGATTGACCCGAAAAATAACAACACTTTGTCAGGACCATGATTCGATCATTCCTACAAAGTTTCAGTTCAATCGGCCAAGTAGATCTTTACTTTAAGTTTGAAATAGTTTTTCAAAATGGCAGCCGTGGTGGCCATATTGGATT